TAAAAAATAATCGAAACTCACATCAAAAAGATGTGTACCGAGGAACGTTTCGGAACATACTATTATGGCATTACCCTTAAATGGCGTGTTATTTTTCGTATCAATCGCATGCCCCATTGACGAGTAGGACGCGAACTCGACGTACGCGGTCCCCTTCAACTCCTGCGTGAAACGATCTTTGAGGACCGTACAATTTAAAATTTGCCCGCAATCGGCGAAAAACTGCGCGAGCTCCTCCGGCGTCGTTGTCGGGCCGCCGTTTTCGCCCTTCGGGAGGTTCCCCACAAACACCGAGCGGCCGTCCGAGTCCTTCGTGAAGACATGTGAGGCGTTGGCCTGGGAGGGGGCCTGGGAGAGCTGGGACGACGACGGAAGTTGGGGGGAGGGAAGTTGGGGATGGGAGGCCCCCGGGTGGGGGGCGAAGGAGTCCCCAAAGGGGGCCAACCCGGAGCCCAGTCCCGCCGCCCCCGGCGCGAAGGCCATCACAGGGTGGGTCTGGGGCTGAAGCGGCAGTTGGGGGGGGACCGAGGGGGGGAGGAAGGGGTTGGGCGCGGGCATGGCGAAAACCCCCGCGGACGTCGGCTGAGGTGGTTGTTGCTGTTGTTGTTGTGCCCGTAATTGATCATCCCGCGCAAGTTCCGCTTCCATTCGGGCGATTTCGGCGGCTAAATCTTCATCCATTTCCTTATAGTTTTCTTTGGAATTGGTGTTTTTGTCTCTTTAGGTTTTTTTAGAGGTCGCCTTAGCTCTCGGATGCTTTGAAGTGTGGTTGGGGTGTTCGCGACTTCGTTTCCCAAGTCGTCCAGTGCAATTACTATAGAATCTAAAGAGGATATTTCTAAAACAAAGGGGGAAGGGGGGGGATATATAAGGAATCATCCAAAAATAAAGTCCACATAAATTTATAAATGCGGTACCCTAATCAATACGAAGTGAAGGTTCACTGAGACTCCTCCACCTCCCTTCATCCCACCACTCTATGCTTGCGAGATTCTCTTTAACATTTACTCATTGCACAAATTCAGATGAAGTAAAAGTCCTTTAGCCCTAATCGAAAATCGAATTCTTTACATCTCACTCATTTTCCAGTAATTGCCACTTCTTAACTTTTCATCCTCCTTAAACAAGCCCCACAATGAGAACTAGAAAGTAGCAAAAAAAAAGTCTCGAGTACACACCGCTTCTTCATCCTTACACACATCCCCCTCGATCACCATTGTGGGAAAACAGTTAGCTGAAAAGGTCAAAAAAAAGAAGGAAATAAGAACTACACTGAAACAAATGAGTAAGAATCACCAAAAATAATAAACTGTAAAGTGAAATCCTACATGTTTACTCCACAAAAAAAAATATTAATAATCAATTATACATATATTTCCGCTAAGTATACTACCTCGCTAAAATCCCTTCGCAGTTTTCATGGCTAATCCGTCGATTTCAGGCTCTTTGGGTTCAATTGGAGCGGGTGGAAAATTTTGAACAATAAATTCGATATACGCCGGTTCGGTTTGAACCAAAGCAAAAAAATCAGCACGATCGTAGCCATCCGCAGAGCTTCTTTTCTTCGATTTTTTTGCCTGAAGCTGCTCCCAAGTTAAATTCGGGATGGCCCCGCAGATAAATTGATCAATCATCGCGTCCGATATCTTGGGCTGCCCTTGGGCATAGCTAAGAAAAGCAGTTTTAACGCGCTGCGTTTGATCGGTGGTAAGTCCCATTTGCTGCTCCTGAAAGTGTGTTTGCTTTCTTTTTTTTTATTATATTTTTATATATATTTTGAAGAAAATGGAGTTTCGATGTTGTTCCTTAGTCAAGTCTCACGAATACGTCTTTTCCATTACAATAAAAAAAAGTGAAAGGGCAATGAACAAGAAAAATATTATCCACAAAGGGATAAATGACTAAAAAAAGAGAATTATAAAACGCATTGGTTTCATTTTCAACACTGGAAAGGGGGAGGCCTCTCCCCCTCCCCACATATACAAACACACACCTAATCTCATCTATACAAGACCTTTCTCAGCGCCCTCCATATCGGAGATATCTCCTTCACGCTCTTCGCTTCGAATTCCTGTACGTTTGCATCGTATTTTTTCTCCATGCCATTATTTGTTTGCGCGTCGTAAAGCTCCTTTCGCACCGCAAAGTTCACACTGTCTGGATCTCATTCCACGCTGTTCTCTTAAACGAGAAATTTTTCTTAAAAAAGAGTCCTGAACCGAGGTAGACAAAAAAAAGCACCCACCAGGCACTATCATAATCCTAAGCCATCCTTCAGCATGTATAATACGTGCATGCGGTAGTGATACCCCTTTTCGCCCTCAAATTTCAAAACAGGTTTATTGCAATGATCGGCAATAATAATAATAATAATAATAATAACTGCTATTGCTTAGTATTGACAAACCTGTGAAGCGAATTGGCAACATTCGGTGTTGAGGCTGAGACCGTAGACGCCTTCCTTCTGAACATTACCTCGGCTAAACACAGCACGTTTTCGGGAATAAAAAGAGGAACGTCCTCGATGAAAAGGTGGTCAAGATGCCATAAAATGGCGAAAACAAGCCCTGAAGGAATTGGTGGTAATCGGCATAGCCATAAAAATGAGGAATAAGAAATAATTAGGCGTCTTTGGCCAGGAACATTAATTTACAACATATCGATTTATATAGCAGGTTTCCATATTACTAAAAAAAAATGTGTTTGGGGTAGTAAAGAAAGTAGGGGATATGAATTAATTCAGCCCTTTCGAAAGGATTGTTCTGTAAAGGCTAGCCATCCGACTAGTCACTTTGTTTTCTACACATCAAATGCGATTTAAATGGTTTGAAGATGCGTTTTGTGTTCGATAACTCATTCGTCTTTTTACCAGACCCGTCTGTGAATGATATGTGTGTTCAATAGCAAGAGAAAGCAGTAAAATAAACACAAACTACAAGCAAAAAAAAGCACTGTTTTGTACGAAATTCAGTAGAGATTTTCTATCTCATTCTCTCTCTCGCATTGAAAGACAAAGTCCTTTACGAAAAAAACGTAAATATGGTCAATAGCTATAAGATTGTAGTATAGTGATCAATATTGAAAATGCTCGTCCTGAAATGTATAAAATGACTTCAAAATCTGCTCTCTATTTCTCCACTTACTTGACATCTATAACTGCAATTGTAGCATAAAGCACTGCAGAAGAAAACACCAACCTCAAAGATCCCTATCCTCAGGTGCAGCTGTTCACACCAGAAACGAATCATAAAATCTGCGAAACGCAACCTCGAACATACAAAAGGGGCAAGAAAAAAAGGAGAGTGAAGGGTGTAAAATAGTAAAGATAAGTTAAACTTGTCATTCCTAAACAAGTAGTTGATCCCCCCCTCTTAAGCGACCTTCCCCCTCCTATTTACAACGAGGATACACCAAACCACAAACACCGTCTAGACCTTACGCAAAGGATTTTTCTTTAGCATAATCAAATTTCCCTCGAGAAGTTGGTTTGCATGTTTTAACTTCTTCACTCGTTGTCCTCCACAACTGGAGCCAGCTCCCATTCAGGGCGCCGCTGTACGGACTTGATATTCTGATTTTTATTCGTCCCGTTGTAATCACTAATTTTTTTGCTAACATTCTGCGGCGTAACGTCGGGTTTGTCGAGCCATTCCTTGAAAAAATCATCCTTCGCCTTGGCAATGGTATCGCGCTGATCTTCATAGCTGTATTTTGCCCAGTAATTTCGCTTTCGCATGCTTACATATTGCCCCCCATCCCTCTCTTCGAGATTGCGATAAGCCCCTTTCAGGCGTTTTTGGTAAGGTAATTCTTGCTGCCGCATCGCGTTTTTCTCAAGAGGGACGCCAATACGTAGATCATACTTGGATTTTTCCTCGTAGGACATGAACATTCTATTTTTTTCGTAATAGGTGTTATGCCCGTCCTCCCCGGGCTCCGGGCCCCATTCCTCATTCCAACCGAACTCTTGCGGCAGCTCCAACCCTCCTTTCGTCTTTTTCCAGTCATAAAGATGATGGAGCTTCTCGGACTCGGTGAACTGTTTTTTAGGCTCCAGACTTTTCACCTCGAAACTTTTCATCTGATCCTCGTAAGACGCAAATCGAGGACCGGGCTCATGTTTGGGGTACATATCCTCAAAGAATTTGTAGCCTCCACCGGCGAAACGCTTTGAAGTGGCGGTAAAAGATCCGCGCAAGGCGAAAGGCGTGCTTTTCATTTTTAGCGTTATCGAAGACGCAGTGTATTCTAATACTTTATATTTTGAGAAATGCAAATAAAGGCGATACCGATGGTTTCCTAGTGTAGCGTTTTTTACTCCCTTGGTAATATTGATATGATATAGATGTCAAGTCATATGTGAGAATAAAAACGAACAAGATTAGTGGTGGTCAGTATTTTGTTTTCGTTTTACTTCATTAAGGTAATTCAAGAAATAGACATTAAATACAACTTACGATGTTAAAGAAGCCGGTATAATTAAATTTCTGAAAACAACGGATATAAATAAAGTTATTGAATAAAAACAACCACTTATATATACTATTATCAAAGTTTAAAGACTTTTTATGGTAGAACACGCGCAATAAATTTACACACCTCATCAAGCTCCTCAGGAACCGCCAAGTGCGGCATGTTATACTCAAATAAATCGATCTGAGAAGTTACCTGTCCCTCAGTCTGGAGGATGTGCTTTGTTTTCTTGGCGAGTTCGAAAGGAACGATGTTATCCACCAGGCCATGAAACATCGCAATAGGCGTCTCTCGATTTCGTATCCGAGGCAACACCTCGTCCGCACAAGGAAGATAGCCTGACATACAAACCACCCCTGACGCCGCGAAATGCCCAATCAGCCCCGTCGCTAATGAAATCGCGGCACCTTGTGAGAACCCCGCGTAGACGACGCGCTGCGATTGAATTTTAAACTGCCTTGTCGCCACATGCGCGAGGCTGCGGAGGTAATCCACCGATCTTAACACACCCGGGGCATCTTGCTGATGAGGTGCGTTGGCGCTGCCGATCTCGTTCAGGATATCATACCACGACGTCCCCGACATCCCATAATTAATCGTCACCTTCTGCGTGGGGGCGGTGGGAAGAAGAAATAGAATATGAGGCAAGCGGCTGGCAAGCTCGTAGGCGGCACTCTCCCAGCCGTGCGCGGAATCGCCGAGGCCGTGAGAAAAGGTGACCAGTCCCGTAGGGTTTGTGGTGTTACCTATGCGAAGAAGGGAACCGTACTCAAGCCCATGTGTGATAGGGGACTTATCGCGTACTGAAGAGAGCCTTTTTCGAAGGTCATCGACCTCTAAACACTGCGAAAAGTCCTTGATCCCATATAACGTCGTGAGCTCAGACTTCATCTGACTGATGTCCATCTGATCCACTGGTGTGCCAATCATTTCTGATTGATTCATTGTCTGTAAAAGTGTAACTTTATCCTTTTTCTCCTCAAAAAAACGTTTATATCACCACTCTAAAGGCAAAAACAAAAGCAATAAATTTTAGAGCAAAAACAAATGAAGTGTGAATAATCACATATATGCTCATACACCTGATGACCACCAGGCTTTCTTTACCTACCACATTCAATGTGCCTGAGCTCAGATGTCGTTTCATTTGAATTACCCGCTGTTATTCAAGACAAATTCACAAAGTTTCTCAACGATTCTCACATTCTGTCTAATTTTTCTTCTTAGTGCCTATAGCACACTCCGACTCGCACACGCCATTGGTAGGGACAGTGTAAGTTGTTCGATGTCTCCATTCAATGACCTTGATTGAAATCCACAAGATGCTTATTAATCCTGATAAAAGTAGCACCGGAAAAATCCATCGGTAGAACAGCGTTGATCCTTCAGCTGTACGAAGCCGCGACGCTCGTAGAATGGGGTCGCCCCTCATTCCAGTGAGTTTAAAAGCTGCAGGCCACGTGCGGAGTTGCGCAGTAGTCCTATTACGCATCTCCTCACTAAAACGAAATATAAGACTAAAGTGACCAAAGTCGTCAACGACGTTTAGATGCTCTTCGATAAATACATAACCCAACAACTTCACCAATCCATCACCTTCATTCACTGAATTTGAAGAAAATTCCTCGATAATATAAACTCCCGTCTTTGAAGAGGGTGATGAAAAAGAGGAGCTGCCCTTGTTCGAAAGCCCCCTTCTCGTCATGCCATCCCCAGTCCCCAAGGCACCGCGCCCCTGGAGAATCCCTCGGCTCCCCTGCTGTTTAACTTGAGCTTCATACTTGAGAAACACCTCTTCCTCTGGTCCCTCTGAGGCGGGGTTGGTGGTAGTACTGGTGTAAAAAAAACAGGTCCCTTCCAATGGGCCATTAAATCCCCGTGTGTGCGGCTGCTCCTCGCACATCACCGTTGTAAAGGGCAAGATCCGACCCCCTGCCTCCGCTGGCGGAGATGGGAGGTGAAGCGTCACGGAGTGCCCGGCCGCATAGCGCTCCAGCCCCACCTCACCCAACTCTGTCCAAGCCGCAGCCTCAGGGGTCGGCTGCATGGCGGCCCACCACACACTGGGCGGCTCACTAAGCGCCTGAGCAATCCCCCATCGCAGCCTCGCCGGGGGGTACGGCGCCGTCCTTAATTCCAACCCCGCTGCATTCCCTACCACCGTGAATAGGAATAGCCCTAAGAGGAGTCCAAACCCACCAAGCCCTTGGAAACCCCCTAACATGTTGATGGGTGGATCGACGGACACGCTAACCGGGTCCCCTTCTGTCAACCCGTTTTTTGTATATTGCAAATTTCCCTTGTGTCACACTGTAACAAACCGTTGTCAGAGATGAACCTTTTCTAAACAGGAATTCAAGCGGAAATAAACAACCCAACACCCCAGGAGAAAAAAGAGCGCCATGTAACAAAAACAATAATACTAAAACACAGAAATGCCGGTCAAATAGGTAAACAGGAAACGAACCGATAATATGGACCAACAAGCTGGAGAATAGGTCACAAAACATCCCGAAGGTGGGATGATATGGAAAACAACGAGAAGTATATATCGATGTAAAAATAAGGTGAGGAATAATATGTACAGACGGTGTTTTCACTTATCATGGCGACAAATGAAAACGAAAAATATATGTAGAAATAAATTCATACAGACAAGAGGAAAATCGAATATTTACCTCCAAATGATGTATCCAAGGACAGCAGCGTCGTTGCGGTGTCCATTATAAATAATAATAAAAAGTGCCAATCTCGGAACTAGAGAACGTTTATCCATGCTATTTTTTTAGCATTAAATATTTAAAAAAATGAATTTGGGAAATAAAGAATTTCAATTATCATAATATGTCTAATATATATATATATATATATATAACTGCATGATGGTTTCACTAATTTGCAAAAACAATGGAAATGATGGACTCTTGATCTTCTTCCTCTAGAAAAAAAAGTGGCACCTTAACTCAATATGTTAGTGAATTAAGTGTTTCGTTCAGTATCTTTGCAACTTTATGGTGAAGTAACTATTAACACTCTTTTTATTGTTTACTGTAGACATATAATACTCTTACTTATACGAATAAAAATAAAGCAATAAGTATTACTAAGCGTAATGAGTATATTTATTTGAGGTGTGTGTATGTTTAGTGAAGTAGCATCAAGGAAATAAAAAAAATCCTTTATAACTGTTGAAGAATAAAATGGGGCCCAGAGTTGATAATCCCCAATACCTCAGCGTATCCATACATAAAGATGTTTTTGCTTCACACCCACTTTACATTTTCGATGTTGTTGATTAATACAGTATGTCTCCATAAGTCAATTCACTAATTTAAATTTACTCTGATTACGCCGAAAAAGTGGAAATAGAGAGATTAAAAAGGTAAAAACATAAAAATTGCTAAAGGAATTATTAACTAAAAATGTTGAAAAGATATAAGCTTATTGGGCATAAAATACATCTAGTAGTAAGCACATATACTTCTTCTTACAGTTGGTATTTATACTTCAATTTTTACCAAAATACAAATTCAGTCTTTGTTACATTTGTATTTAAGCCTTCTTCACTCTCATTCACATTGCTCAGACTATTAAATCGTATATTCCAAGGATAAATGCAATGTTGCGTCAACAACCATAAGTAAATGTTCTCCCTAGTGTCGTTCCTCCACAGGAATCGTTTTTTTTTTTTACTATATGAAATGATATCAGTCTTAGAGCCTCAGATAAAGGTTCCATATTTGGGAACAATACAAACAGGAAAAGAATGATTGAACAATACTCACCAGAAATTTGATCCTTGGGTAACGCAAGTTGGTGAAGGACCGCATTGCATTGCGCGAAAATGAAAAACACCCTCTATCAGATCCAAAGTGTGTGTGTAGATAAGGGAGAAGAAAGGTGTACTTTCAAACACAAAAAAACTGCGTAAGCCATAGGATACAAATGGCATGGTGATCTCATCAGCTGTGAGGCTATTGAGAGAACTCAAAAAGTCCGCATAAAAAATGAACTAAGCGAGAGGTGCAGTGGTACACTTCCCTGCAGAATAAAATCAACACTCTGTTTCCTTCTCCTTGAGTACCTTTAAATTAACGCACGTTAATATGTGCTCGATCTTCCCCAATAAAATTGCAACTGATGAAACAATCATACATAAAACCTTCGTTCGCACTGCATCTATGAATTGCAGTTAATTATACTGCGATAGTCTCGTCTTTGAAACGCTTTTCTGATTTGGTCATCGTACACATGCGTAGCCCTAGTAGAGATTAAAGCACACAAGATGAATCACAAAATTCAACTCGATATGCTCCATCCCATGGGAAATGGAAATACTTGACTTGAGTGTTATCCATAGAGCTATCGCCAGGTCTCGCAGTGGCTTAGGACGCTGCTCGCGCTGCCAAGACATGCGGATAACCCGTTGCGTTTTCTCACCAGCCCAACCCCTTTCCCAGTCCAAGCGATTCGGATCCATCGCCGTTCTACCGGTTCGATTTCGCGCTTTCCAACCCAACGCATGGAGAAAAAGCCGTACGCACTGGACTTCTCCTTCCCATCCCTACCCTATCTCATCTCATCTCGGGTGCGGAGTGTAGATGTAAGAATGGGGTTGACTGCCCCTCCCTGAGGGAGTTTACTTGTCCAGGCCTTATGGGACTTTACGACACACGCAGCTCAAAAAAATAACGTCGACGGCGATAAAACTTAAAAGTGTTAGTCGTTGCAATCCATAATGTTGATTCTGGTCGTACAGTAAGATCGAATTCGTGGAGTGCGTTGAATTCCCTGGAGCGATGGCATCGGGGGAGCCAATTCCCTACCGCCTACGGAAGCTTCTGGTCTTTGAGTATGAAACGAGGTATTGTTCAGGGGTACTGAACAAGAATCCCACGTGTGCTCTACAACCTCCTCGCCGATAACCGGGTGCTCCCACGAGTTTCTCCCCTTCAAATATGTAAGCCGAGCCAGGTTCGAAGCTTGGTGGTCCTCAATAAAGCCTATGTGCGTAGTCCCATCATCATGAGGCATCTTGTTGGGCCTAACGTGCATATGAAGATTACAATTGTTGTACACTAAAAGAGTTTTGGAGTCTCTTGGAAGCGAATCCGGGTCCAATTCTAAATTCTGATTATGTTTGTAGGTCAGCAGCCGATCCCGAGAGCGGCCATGCCCCCCGTGTTCCCTTTTGGTTTCGGAACATTCGGATGGATCTGTAAAAACCTTGGTTAATTTCCTACTCCCAATTTTCGGATTTAGGCGGTCTGACAATGGCGCTGAAGAAGGTGAGTTGCAAACCCCGTCCCTGTTTTGTGGGAACAAAACTGTGCACGTCGGTGATGAGGATATATCCCATCCATTCTTGTTCGCTTCCGGAGGCTTTTCATGAGACAAAACATTCAGTCTTGGGCTGTCACAATAGCTGTACGTATCAAATTTAGTAAAGGATGAGGTCGATAACCTTTCCAGATATTCATCGACGGAATCACGATCGATTTTTTCAGCGGTTTTACACTTCGAATCCTCTGTATCGTACAAACGAGGGGAAACGATTGTTTTATTACAGTTTTTCTTACGTTTGTGCGTCTCTTTTACAACAACTTTTTCCGGTGATGGGGAAATCTTTCTCTTGTGTGTGGACTTTTCGTGACTTTTGTTTCCATCCTGAATCTCTACAGCACTAAATACAGGACCAAAGCGCCTTGTCGGCAACTTTATAGATTTTGCGGACCTTGAGGGTGTTCGCTTAGGGGGTAATGGCAAAACCCGGCCCGTTTCAGTGATCATGCATGGTCTATTGGTCATTTCCCTTTTGTGTCTAGTACTCATTATTTTCTTTTATATTGCGTCAGTTGGACGTTTACAAGTTTAACTGTAAAAAGGGGTGGAGGAGGGAATTGACTAATAGGGGTATTTTGTTTTACTAACCTCGACACTTGTTTTAGTTGGTAGAAAAAACAAGATCTATCAGAGGAAACAAAAATCAAAGTATACTATAGATGGCTCGATTTGAAAGAAAAGGTATGAAAAGGTAGAGAATGTGAGTAAAGAGGAGAAGACTGCAGGATATCGATATCAAATAATCTATATAGTCATATCGTAAACAGAAAAAAAGAAAATGTAACATGGAAATTCATATAAAGGAAGCAAAAAGTGTGGCACACTACTAAAAAAATAAAAACGAAAACATGAAAAAATGATTCCTCTTCGCCTGTATTTTTGAATGTAAAGCATACTGAGGAATAAAAAATATGAAATCAAAGGCAACCAAAAAATTCAGAGCTCAAAAAGAAACCAGCGATCAGGCTCAAATTACGCGGAATTCTCTAATAGCATCAAAAAGTATGGAGTGAAATATACTCAAGCTCGGAAAAAACGTAAATTTTCTTCCCTATAAAAAAAAGGCAAAGGATGCTCCATAACTAAATGGTTTATGTCTTATTTTTCTGGCAATGCTATACC